TGACATGCTGTCAGAATGCAGCAGTTATTCATTTGACTTCCATTCTTATGCTCAGCGTGGCCGTTCGTCTTATTGGAGGAATAATGTGCATTATAGCCAGACATATGGCACTTGAGCATTGAATACATTTGATGTGAACTTACAAGTAATTCAGCTTGGCTAATTAAAAAATAGCTTTGTTAACCTAGTCCGCCAGCTAATAGAGTTCCTTTATAGACAGAACAAGGAAATGAGTTTGTAATTAAAGCAAAATCATTATGACTATATAGACTACACACAGGATTGAGAACTCAGTTAAAACTGTATCTGAGAATTAGGAATTAATTAGATCACTTGTCTTTGTGGTTTATTGCTGTGCCATAGGCTGCCACGTGAAATAAAGGAACCTATCACATGCCAAGAGTATTCTAGATAGATCAGTGCAGCAAGCTGCCTTTCTTCTGTGATATGTTTAATCACATCCATTGGTATCTGAAAGCATGCTCTAAACTCAGCTGTACTGGATACTGAGAAGCAGCATTTGGTTTGTTGAGCAGGCTACTTGCCTATTCTGTCACAAAGCACTAGAGCTATGTTCCAAAACAGCACTTGGAAATGAGGGAGCAGTCCCATCGCTCTGCTTCTGCAGCACAAGGAGCCTGACCTTAAAAGATGAAGACTTAAAGCTGGCTTAAGTTTGAGCCTTTGTGTCTTTGAACAGTGGATAAATGGCACAGTAATGCCTTAATGGGAATTTATGAAATCTGTGTGCCAGACTGTTTTTTGAATACACACACAAACACAACACACACGCACATCTTTATCCTTAGGTGTAGCAGCAGTACGTTAGGCGTGTGGTAATGACCTGTTTTAGGATAACAGATTAAAAAAAAAACGTTATTCTTGAGTTCACGTTTGGCAGTGCACATGTAATGCACAGGAATAATGTGTCTGAGTCATATTGTGAGATGAAGCATGCTATGATTCCTCAAAATCAGTCTGCATGGAATTTAGAACTGTAACTGTCATCGCGTGGCTTCTGAACGTGGCGGAGCCATGGCTGTTTTGTCACTTAACTGTGTGCTGAGTAACTAAACAGTATGTAAATAAGTGAATATAGAACGTACAGGGTCACTCCTCAGGCCCTTGGGCAGCGATCACTGAGGTGGGGGAGAACACAGTGTTTGGGGTTTTATCCTTTCTCATTTTCTTTCTTCGTGCTCAGAAGTGCTCTCATTATAAGCTGTGCTACTCAGTTATGCTGCAGTGTCTAACCAGTGTCTGTTTAAATAATTCTGTGACTTATATTCTAGCTCGCCTATTGTGTTGTACAGTTCCTGGAGAAAGATACAACTTTAACAGAGCCTGTAAGTGTTTTTCAGTTGCATGTTTTTCTGGCTTTAATTTCAACTTGGTATTTCAGTGCAGTTCACTGGAATTGCAGAGTAGTGCTATCTGGTATCTTGATTATGATCCATAGGTGTTATTTAAGAGGGAAAAAAGAGTAGGAGAAAGTCCTGAGTTTGAAAGTGCAGTTATCTCTTAGCGTGCATCCAAGATGAAACTGAAATAACAGTTTGAGCTGCTGAGATCACATAAATCACCTCATATGAAAACGTGAGTTCCTTCCTGCTAAGAGCTGAAATTTCAGTAATAGTGGTGTGATGGCTCGTGCCTAGCATAAATCAGAAATATTTCAAGGGAATACACTGTCCCAAAATGGAAGTGAGAAAGAGTAACTACACTTTATTTAGACAGAAAGGACGCTGACATTCCAAATGTGACGTTTGTCTTTTTGGTTCCTGCGACAGCTCTTTGCAGCTGCAGGAGAGGTGCTTTGGGCATCAGTGGCTTCTGCCAGACTGCATCTCCTGCGGCACACACAGCCTGCCCAGCCCCAAAGGGAATGGCAGTGCTTCCTGCAGGCAGTCTGGCTGTGCCCATACAGAGTGCAGGCACTGCTGCAGCTCGTGGGGAAACGGAGCGGCACTGCAACAATTTGGTCAGCAATTGGAAATCCTCCCATTAAGGAGATGTTGGAAATTTAAATACTTTGGCTATTAATGTAAACTTACAGTAAAACTGCCTTTATAAAGGAAGAGTAAAAGTTAATATATGGTAGTAAGTGAAGATGTAAGAAACGTGAAGTGCTCGAAATGTAAATGTCAAAACTCAATAGAGCAACTGATAACAGAAATAGCATACGGATTTCTGTTTGGCTGTAGGTGAAGTAGTATTTTAAGAAGTCCATCAGAAGGCTTCCTGAGTACCTCCCTGTTATTTTTCTGGCAGGAATTGTCTCTCGGGGTCAATGCAGAGGACGTGTGTTCCGAGCTCGTGTAGCTATGGTAGTCTGCCTTAGGTCGGTCTTGATGTTTGCAGAGCTGACAGGAGCTCATTACCTAACCCTGCTGAGTGCCACAGCCTTTACATGGATGGAATTTCCTTTCATGAGAATCAGGCTGAATGTGCAGCCCTTGTACAGAAGTTGTCTAGCAGGTGCCTGCTGGTGTAAGTCAGCTTTATAGGAACCTTGTAGCCCTGGGAGGAATGTTAACCATGTGTATTTTGTGCTGTGAGAACAGTACGACTTCAGATCTACATTTGTGCAGTTCTTGAAAAAAAGGCTTTGAACTTACATGTGCATGTATCAGCTTCTCAGTGTAAGAGCGTGGTCAAGCTGGAAACTCAAACTCTAAAGAGCAAGCAGGAGGTATTTTGTAGAGGCTTGCACTTTCTAGTAGGAACATTGCTGCTTTGTCAAGTTGAGAACGTGAGTCCATGTAGTGAAGTCTATTCAGCACTCATTGCCCACTGCTGGAAACGGGACTGTTGAGCTGACCAACTCTGTGCCTCCAATATCAGTACATTCTTGCTCCAGGTTACTGAGATGTATGTTAGGTACATCTTCTACAGATAAGCTACTAGAACCTATCTGAAATTCTTTTGGCTTTCTGGTGTTGTCTGGGGGAAGGGAAGGTGCTGGCAGACTGTCCGTGTTCCGACTTGTTCTTTAAAAATATAAAGTATGAAGTCCTCATTTGCTGAGTTTCACCTGAAGTGACAGCCAGTCTTCTAGTTTGCATATCCCAGGATAAAATTTGGTGAGCACCAAACACGTTAACTTGCTGTCAGCACGTCACCTGTGACAGTGCACACAGCTGTGAACCAAACAGGGAAGATTGGAGCAAAAAAACATGGGAAAATTGCAATATGGAAGGCATTCACGTGGTAGGCTAACTTCTACAGTTGGGTACGATCTGTTAGGTGCTGCTATACCATAAAAGCTGAGGTCTTTCCTCAGAATGAAATTTCACAGTGCTTGAAGGTTCTGTGTGTGAAAGGCGCAGTTTGGGCTTTCTACAGGCAGCGTCAGTTCTGCAGGTTGGTGCTGGTCCCGGTGTCTGTTCTGGGGAATGGCTGCTGCTCTTTTTGGTGGTGGTGATTTCCCTCCTCTCCTGCCCCTCTTAGGGGCTGTGCTTTCCAATTACATTTCCCAAGGGGTTTTTCCAGTCTTACATGAGATGTATTTCAGTATCTACACTGGAAACCATTCACTTAGTAAGTTGTCATCATTTCTAGTTTCCCGCCTTTGACACTTCAAATCACAGAAGAAAAAAGGGTGTGGTGGAGGCCAGGCCTCCTCTGTTTGCCATTTGTGCCATCTGTGCACTGCTTTCTCTTGGCTTGCAAAATGCCCCGGGTGCAGTGCTGTGCGGTGCATGGGTCACGAGGGAACAAGGAGAAGTACTGCAAACTGCCCACGGGGAAATGAGCTTCGTTTTGGGATGCTTTGATGATATCAACGTGCTACCAGTTAGTGTACATAGTGCGGTGGGAGTGGGTAACCAAAGCAAGACAAATATTTAAATGAGCAAAGTATTTATTTTCATGCAATTGCTTTTACCCTTATTCAGCTGTTATTGATGCGCTGGAGAGGGAGAAACAGCCTTGTTTTTCTTCTCCTCCATCTTATCAAATATGTAATGGAAACGTGCTCTGGTTTAACTTGTGTTTCTCATACAGGTAATCAGAGGACTGCTCAAATTTTGGCCCAAAACTTGCAGTCAGAAAGAGGTTGGTTTTGTCTTCTCTCTTCTGCTTCTTGTCTGCTGTGCTGCAAACTGCAGCAAGGCAGGGTTGTGCTCTGCATCTCTGCTGCGCTTCTCAAGAGATCTTGCAACAAACTTGCAGCTCTTGAAACTTTATAAAGAGTGCTCATCTTTGTCGTGCTACTCAGTGCAGTTTTTTGGCATGCCAGTTGTCACTGTGGTTGTCACTTGCGATGTTAAAACTGTGCTAGAGGTTCATTCTAATTAAGACACTGTGTAGAGAAAAAGTTTTGGAGGTGAGAAGCACTGTGGTGTGGTCACACAATGCTGGAGGCAGTCATCTGTACCACAGCCCAGACACAGCCACTGAGATGCTGAATAGAACTCTGGTGAAGTGTGTGTACATCTTTTCCACAGGATGAAAACAACTCTTACTGGTCTGGGGAAATTGTTTTTTTTCTGGCTGGCTTTTCTTCTCTGTAATCCAGATGAGCACAGTCAGGAGTTGGACTTATACCCCCAGCTCACCTCTGTGGCTGCCTGACACTGCAGCCCTTCAGAGCTGCTGTCCGTTCAGTTGTTTGGCAGTGAATTTTTCCACGCCACCCACCTGCTGTCCTGCTGGCTCTTGGTTAAAGCTATTAACTGCTGGCCATGGAGCAGCTAGTGTGCAGATCTCAAAGGTAACCTCTGCAGATACTGTGGAAGTAAAATGTTGCAGCTTCTTTTTTTAAAACTGTAAAGAAAAACTTTCTGCAGAAGCAGCTCATGTAGTGCCAGAGCAGTCACACCACGGAAGAGCCCGAGGCTCTGCACTGACATGCACTGCTCATGTTTAAGCCACCTTTTGTTTCTGTTCACACTGTCAATATAAAACGTCCTCATACTTGTTGATGTATCTCTTTTATACAACAGGTAATGTTTTTAGGTGAAATTGAAGAAATCTTAGATGTAATAGAGCCGACACAATTCAAAAAAATAGAAGAGCCTTTATTTAAGCAAATTTCCAAGTGTGTGTCAAGTTCACATTTTCAGGTAAAAAAAAAATCACAAAACAAAAACCCATCAAAAATCACCCGCAGTAATTTGTTTTCTGGTTGCTGACTCCTAACCTTTGCATTTCAGGTTGCAGAAAGAGCTTTGTACTTTTGGAATAATGAATATATTCTTAGTCTGATTGAGGAGAACATTGATAAAATTCTACCAATTATGTTTGGTAGTTTATACAAGATCTCCAAAGAACACTGGAACCCGTAAGTAACGTTTAAGTACCTGCGGTACCGGGAGTGCGTTGCATTAAGCCTGCTATTTCCAGTTGAGCTCATAACCTTGTAAATACGTCTTCATTTTAACTTAGATGAAATCTGCTGAAATGGACATCATTTTCAGCAATATCGTGCTTTCATTGTTCTGCATTATGATGGAAAACTGGAATTTGCTCAAAAAATGAGGGAACTGGATGGCAGTTGCAATGTTCTAATGACATTTGATCTTAGGTGCTGGTTATTTAATTTCCTTAGTTGTTTTTTCCTATGTTGGCAAGACAAAGTAATGACACTGAAATATTTTTTAAAATGCCAAATTTGGCTGTGCTCAGCACCCGAAACTGAGTCAGTGAACATAGAAAGTTTTTACAGGCAGAAACCCAGGTAGGCAGGAGCCTTCTGCAGTCTGAGCAGATCAGACACCTGTTAAGGGCCCATAGAGACGGAAGTTACTCTGCATGTCTCCAGGTGGTGCAAACCTACCAGCTGAGCCTGAGTGTAACCACAGGAGACCTGATTCTTGGAGCCTTAGTATTGCCTGCGGGCCTCAGCAAATCCGAATGGTGTCCCTCTTCCTCTAGCTGCAGACAGAAGGTGCTCTTTACTTTAGGAAGGGCACAGAAGACACAAGTTAATTGTATACTTTGAAAAGCAGGAAGTTCAGGAAGCAAGTACAGCCCTGTGGTTTTAATCTGATTTGAAAGACAAAGAAGCTTATTTATATCCATCTACCTGTCTAGTGTGGTCTTAATTATTCACTTAGGATGAGGCTTTTCCTCTCAGAAAACCAATAACCTAAGTAGGCTTTTGTCTTCAAACCACAAGACAGCCAGCATTCAGTGTGTGGACAAGCCAGGGCCACTCTGCATTTTGGGTCAGTGTGAGGCCTCCAGTCAGCAGGAGAGAGATCTCAAAGGTGCCACAGTGAACGGAGTGCACTGAAAAGGCAAACGTGGTCCTTTGGTTACTTCCTTAAATTATTCTTTTCCTCATTTTTCAAGCTGGTGAGAGCATGGCACCCCTGCTCTATGGCCTTACACACCTTACTGCTGTGTGAAGGTCTCCAGTAGCGAGGGGAACAAGGGGGAGACAGCTTACCTTACAGCTTACCTTTTTTGATTAGTGATAAGCTGAAAGATAGGCACCTTGTTCATGTTTACTGCAATTTCTGCAGGTGTGTGTGTAATAATTCAGAGTGGGCTGAAAGGAGATAAACATTATTAAGATAACTTTATGACATGAGATTATCTTCACAAATAGAGTCAAAAAGGAAAATAATCTGTGGCTGTCAAGATTTGCAGTTTACCTTAGACACAGCAGTACTGCTTGAGCTATTCCCTTTCTTGAATTAACTGCCAAATTTGTGCCTATCACCAGAAGTTTTATCCTTTAGGACTCTCCTATTTCATTGCTCAAATACTTAAAAATCCTTGCTAGAATTCAGTTTATTAAATACTAACATAACTGAATGGCTTTACAGTACCATCACAGTACCAAGAGTTACATCTTGTATGTGTTGACTGGAGTTGGGAGTTTAAAGTTAAATATTCATTTGTTTGTGGAGGGACTACAGTACAAGATTTTCTTTCAAAAACTGGGCTTTACAGTAGCACCTTAAATGCAAAGTTTAGGGTCCAAAAAGGAAACCAAAAGTTGCTTACTGAAGGTTGCGTTAATTCTAACGGTTGTGCTCCTTCTGTTCTAGAACCATCGTGGCACTGGTATACAACGTGCTGAAAACACTGATGGAAATGAATGGCAAGCTTTTTGATGAGCTTACCAGCTCATATAAAGCAGAAAGGCAAAGGTAATGGGTTTGTTTGTTTGTCCAAATGGATGGTGATGTTGAGTCCGTACCTAGCTGAAATCTAGCACTTAACTGCTGTGGCTGCAGGGTCTGTAGAAGCACACAGTGGATACTGCTGCTGTGGCTGGCACTGCAGCAGGAGGCACCTGGTGGGGGGAGAAGTGGGCTCAGGTGCTACAGGGGCCGCCTGGTGCTGGCTCTGCTTCAAGGGCTGTTGGCTGGAGAAAGAAGCTTGGCTGGAAAATACCTCACTGCTCAAATGCCTCTGTTATCCCCCCAACCAGCCAGCAGTGCTGCTGGAGCTGCGCTAGCTGGATGTGCACGCTAAGGCTCCTTCAGCAGCTGTGCTTCCCCTGGCCCAAAGCGCTCAGCATCTTTCCTTTTTCCGAACCGCAGTCACCTCTGCAAAAGCACAATGCAGCAATCATCTGACAGACTCCTGTCAGGGCACAGTCACTGTTTTACTGCTCTTCACTAACTTGCATGCTTACCTTTTAATAGAGGAAATGGAATGCCTCTGAAGATACTTTGGAGAAAAAACCTTAACTTAAGCTGCGGATTGCTAGGTGTAGACCACAGTTGTTTGGGTACCTGCTCTTTTAAAGACGGATCTGAAATTGATACTTCACTCTTTTCCACAGAGAGAAAAAGAAAGAATTGGAACGTGAAGAGCTGTGGAGAAAGCTAGAGGAGCTAAAGCTGAAGAAGGCTATGGCAGAGAAGCAGAACAGCACTCACAATGTGCTCAATGCACACGATACAAGTGCCAAATAAAAGAAATGACAACCTCCACTCGACAAACATACTTTTTTGTACCCTTTTGAAATACGTAAAAATTTGCAAAATAAACCTCATCAGTACAGTAGGAACAGCCAACTTTTCTCTGGCTAAGTGTAAATGAAAAGATTTGAATTTAAATACAGCATTTAAGTGATGTCAGTACCACAGCATATTGTAAATTTGTCTATCGATATCCTGTCACTTCCAGCGTTTCATAGAACTGAATTATCATCCTTAATGAGTGAAATAATTACGGGAGTGGTGAGAATTATGACTTGAATTTTTGATTGTGTTGCACATAGGTGGTATAGTTTGCTATGTACATTTTTTCCTTGTTTTATATGTGCTTTTCACATCGCTGCATACCTTGGTGAAGATGATAGAGAAGGCTTCTAGCAGTGCTGTATTTTCTCAAATAAAACCACGGTCCGTTCCCAGTAGCGTGAGACACGCAGTGTGTGTCCCTCAGCGCTGGAAGGAGCTCTCAGATGGTCTTGAATTCCTGACTGAATTCACATTTAGATTTTTGTATAAGGTCACTTAGTGTGAGACATACAGGGAGAGAGGGTCAGCTTGAACAGGGCAGGATGGCCCACATGCTTGCTCACATGCAGTGAGTACCTCTACACTCTTCTCACTGCCTCCTGGTCCTGGCCATACTTAACATTTGCTCCTGCTCAGCCCACAGAGGGCTGCAGAATAGCACAGTTCTCCTGGAGACTGCCCATCCATTGTGGCCATTTCTGCATTACTTTTAGCACCTTGGGGATGGAAGAGCAATACCAAAAGGGGTATATTTTTCCTTTCAGAAAGGAGGAAAGGCTGTCAGTAACTAGTTCCTTGTTTTATTTAAAGAAAATGCAGTCCACTTCTTGAAAGTGGAAAGTTGACTATGGAAGTCTTGTCTGTCACCTGATCAAGAATTTTTCACATCTTTTATCAGAGTACCATTCCAATCTCCTAAATTGCAGTTGTGTGGAAAACTTTTGTAATGAAAGATCTTTGGGGAATTGAGCAGCATTCAATAAAGTCTTTATGTTTGTATTTAGTGCTGTAATCACATCTTTGTGCTCATGAAGACCAGAGGGTTTGAGCAGCTCTTACCAACAACCCTTAACCTGTAGCACTCTTGGCAATATCAAGGCACTTACAATGTGGCTTCTAAACCTGAGCAAGTGCCTCGATTTTGCTCTGGAAATCACCTGAAAGTTACTATACTTCCTTAGAAGGAAAAAAAAAATTGGAAGTACACTTACCACTCCATTAACAAGCCATTAGTAGAGGATGGAAGCAGCAAAATATGATGCGGTATGCTTCCTTCCTTGCAACAAACCTTTCAGAGCAAACACACAGCACTGAGTGGTGCACAGCTGCCTTGTAGACAGCACAGCTCCGAGTTGTCAGGCATCTGACCAGCAAGGGACTTATAAGGAAGAAAAGGACTCCACCACCCCAGCATGGCTCATTAGTGCACATTCTCTTTATAACAAAGAATCACATTTAAGCAGCAGGCTGATGAAAGGCTTCTTTAATACCTTAGCAAAGACTGCAAGAAACAGGGAGGAGCAGCAGCCTAAGTCTATCTCAGAAACTATCAAGTTGCTTGACTTAGACTGATCAGAAATACATAAATAAAATCTACTTATTTAGTAAACTTCAACACCTTGCATTAATATTCCCGTCTGGATGACCTCCTGTAAAACTCCAGCTGCATCTGAGAGCAGGCAGTTTCAGAGAAGGATATGACAGCTCACTCCAATATTTTATTTTTATTTTCAATATTCAAGTCAATACACTTTAAATGAAAAATGATGTAGTAGAATTCCAGTGTATTTTGTTTTAACATTCTTTGGAGAGGGGAGGCCGGACTGTTTTGTTGTTTGGGTTCTACCTTCCACTAAGTATGGTCACAGAAATAACTGCATTCTGGTAGCAGATGCAGGTTCAGAGCTCAGGCAGCACTTTCACACCCCCTGTTCTGAGAAGCATTCAAAACAGTTCAATTTTTGATTGTTTGTTTTTAGAGAATCTAACTGCTACATTAGTGAAATCTCCCCCCCCACATACCGAGGTAAACTTGTTAAATCTGGACTAGAAAAGCATGAGTTTGTTAGAGCTGTCCTAGCATTCCTAGAGTTAAGCTCTTCTCAGGATTTCAGATGTCAGTTCATGAGGCTGTTCCTCCAGCAGTGCTTTTCCTGAAGAAAACATACCTGTTTGCTGTATTGCCAGTGGAAGCTTATTCAATTGTGCTCTGTCCCTTCTGTTGCAGATACTTACGGGGCAGTTTTAGTCTCAGCTTATATGGTTCATTACTTGACTTCTTCTCTTCAAATGTCTCTTTCGGATTTTGATCATCCACTTAACACTTAGCTTAGCAAAGTCTGCAGCCTTAAACAGAGCCAAAAAGATACCGCAGAGAAGGGCGATCGTGTTCCAAGGATTTGCTGTGATTATCTGAAAGAGATTGAAAATATTATTCTCATCTGACTCCGTATATATTCTACCTGTACAGTAAGAAGCATTTCAATGCATCTATCAGAAGAGTCGGGCAGCACATGCCTTCACACTGCAAAGAAGGGCTGAGGCCCCGTGCCACACCTGTGCCTTGTTCTGGGCTTCATCCCATTCCTTTTGTGAGAAAGGAAGCAACGTGCCAGGAGCTGCCTGTACTGCCTGCTAGATTCCTTCTGACTTTCAGGGTTGTTTAACTTTTTAGATACTGTTAAATTAGCAATTTACCACATTGCTTAAAGATGTAAAAAAACAAGCAGTCATACAGAAGAGGCTCTTCCATTAAGATGAAACAAAGCCAGAACTACTGGAAAGCTTTAACAAGACGCACTGTAATGATAAACTACATTCTGACAGCAGCAACTGCTTCTCTAGTACTACAGCAAGTATCTCAGTTTCTGTTTTTAACTACGTTTGGCTTAGGAGTAGTTAATTTTATTTACAGTTTGCAATTCTTCTTGTACTCCTAGGAATGATGGTGACTTCCAGGACCTCAAGATGAAGTGAGCAGATTCAAGATGAAGTTAGGCAGCAACAAAGTAACACAGCTTTCAGATTTGCTGTGGAGTACCAGACACTGACAGCACAAAGGTGATGGCTCTGGGTCACATGCTGAGCCACAAGGTTTGCAACCTGGCTGCCCCTATTATAGATCTGCCCAAACACAGCACCACAGGCTGCCATAGCATCAGCAAGAGGAAATAAACACCACCCTTCACCGCAGCACGGGGCGCTTCCGGCTGGAAGGAGGCGGGGGCGTCCCATGTATGATGGTGGCCCATCATACAGACCACAGCGCGGTTTCTCTGAGCTACATGCACCTCAGCTGCAAAGATGATGCTGTGTCACTGAGCCAGGGAAAGACATCAGTTGGTCTTGAGCCCCAGTGGCTATTTATTACTGAAGATATAAAAATAACAACCAAACCCGGCAGAGCGAGATTTCAAAACTAATTTCACTCTTCCTGTTCCCTCAGTTCACACAGAAGCTCTGAGGCACACACGCACACAAATACACACCACGAGCGTGTGAGGCAAGAAAATAAGATGCAAGGCTGTTTACTTACATCTTGAACAGTCTGTATAAAAGGGTCTTTCCATTCAAACACCACAAAAAACAGCTGGTCACTTCTCAGCTTAGTCCTCCGGTCAATGTAGTTAACCACACTAGTCTGGGGAGGGAGAAAAGAAAAAGGTGAAGAAGGTGCAGATGACTTTCTTCAGTCGTACAATCCAGCCTTCAGTGCATCAGAAAAGGCTTATAAGGTGAAAAGAGCAGGCTGTTCAGCCTTCCTCCACCTGGAACGTCAGGCTTTCACAATACAGAACATCAGTTTCCTCCATCTGTTTCACGATCACATTCACTTCCTATTTCTCACCTAATTAAACACTGTACCATTTCAGACTGGCAGCCAAGGCTTCTGTGACATATAGCAGTGCTTCACTGTTCCTACTTGATGCCCCAGTGCTTGCTGACACAGCACAACAGAGCTACAAGCACAGCACACGCTGCAGCAGCACAGCTCTTAGCCATATATACCAGCACGGGAAGTCTCACTCCATTCACCCGTGGTGTCAGTGATCACTTTTGTCCCCTTGTGCTTACAGGTCCATATTCTCTTTAAAAATCAAAGTGGCAAAACAGAAGCAGGGCCTGACTGCTTTATTCATTTATTCCTGTCTGCAGGAGGGCAGAAGGAGGTGTGGGAACATTCAAGAAGGAGTGAGAGATAGCAGATGAAAGCCTTCACCTGGAGCATGGCCGCACAAGCAGCTTACTGAAAGCACTGTGCTCCAGCAGTGGCCAGTTTCAGCCCACTGCACGCCTCACTACCTGCTTTGGAAATGCCCCTGTCCATCAACTTTGTCAAAATAAAGTTTTTCCCCCTTCAAAGTGCAGAGAGTTCATTCACCAAAATCATTTATTGGGGCCAGTAGAGCATTGGGCAAGCTGTCATTCATGAGTGCTGACTTACTTTTACTTACCACAGAACTACACGATGGTGGCAGGAATAGGCTGGGAGGCTGGGTGTTTTTTTTTTTTTTTTTTTAAAAGAACCAGGTGTGGAACAAGCTGGATACCAGAAACTGCAGAATGAAAAGGGGAAAGCAGGCTACACACTGCTGATCAAACCCTACCTCCCAGTACTGCCCTTTGGCTGAGCTGCTGTTTGAAATGATCACTGCCTGGTGCAGAGCTGTGTGACACCTCCCAGCAGCTGTGACACACGTACTGCTCAGGGTACCAGAGAGATGTTGCAGCCACACGGAACTGACTGCTAAAGAGTGACAACTGGGAAAGCATGAAGACACCAGGCCTCAGAAAAACATCCATCTTGTCTGTATGTCCACATACAGACACCTGAGCCCAGAAGGAGCAATATGGGGAACCACATGCAGCAGCAGTAAGTTTGCTGTAAGCCTCCTGTCCCTGGAGGACAGCACAAAGCATACAGGAGCCAGGCACCAGCTGCACTGCAGTGATGGGAGGACTTGGCCCTTCTCCAGACCTCAGAGGAAAGGTTACACCTTGGTGTGTCCACAAAGCAGCACTTGCGATCTTCCTAGAGAAGTTAATTCTGTACTTGAGGTAATGAATCAGTTACTTCATTCCGGGAGCTACAGATATGAGAATGGATTCAGCAGACACTGGATGGGGAACAACCTCCTACCTCTCCACCACGGCTTAGTTTCTTTATCAATACCTTCAGCTTTCTATCAGTCTCCTCCTAGGGAGGCACCCCTGATGTTATGCTGTGAGCAAACAGAAGCAGGAAGCAGAGCACTGTATACCCATTCCAAGCACTTGGAATCTTAACAGCCTTATGTTTTCTACTCAAACCTCTTTGCTGCACATTCACCCAATGCTTCTGTAGCTCATTTACTTATTGCAGCATACAATACTTCAGCTACACTCATTCAGGAAAACTGCACAATGGGAAACCAGGTCACAAAGCTGACTAAAAGCAATGGGAAAGGCAGAAAAGACCGAGTAATGACTACTGCATTACTCAGCAGACTGACTGGCTATGCTATTTGACCCAGTATTTGTATCCAGCTTTCTGGTGTGCTGCCTACCTGTTTTACATCTGACAGGCCAGTGAACTTCCTTATTCCATTTGAGCAGAAACTGTACTGTCAAACAGCAAGTGCAATTAGCCTGAACTAATTCAACCTCTGCTGTATTATTAATAGGTACCTGAAACATGAAATTCACATTTGTACCAATTCGTATTTCCTTTTTTTTTTATTTTTTTAACAAACCAAACAGCCCACACAGATGATTGGGAAATCCATAACTGCCAGACTAAATGGATGCTCGTGGTAACAAACAGCTCACCTTTGATTCTGGGTCAGTCTTTTCTACTTTGAGATGCTTTAGATGTGGACACACAGCAAAGTCTTAAAAAAAAATCCAACCCTACATAAATACCACAGCTGGCAAGTGGAACAGAGCTCCAGATGACAAAGGACCAACAACTATAGTCAGTGCTTATACGACAGCAGCTGACTGGGATATCCTTTCCTCAGACTAAGGCCCACACCACAGGACTTCAGGATTCTTCCACTCCCCTGCAGCAGAGCTGAAGGTTACCAGCCCACAGCCACAGCTTGTCCCTTGAAGCCTCTCCCATCAGTAGGCACAAGTGAAATGGCTCAGAACACACTTCTGTCTGTCTGTGTGAACAGTCAAACTTATTTCATTTCTAGCTAAGTTTGCGTCTTCCAATTGCATATTTTCTATCTTGAGATACTTCAAGAAGTTACTCCTTATTTCTAAGGGTAATTAACAGGTAAAAATCCCAATCCCAAACAAAAAGCAGATATGAAAGTGCTATAATCAATACTCAGCTTACATTTATTTCTTCATTTTAACATCAGCCCTTGTAATAACCTAAACAGTACCTCCTTCCATTATTATTGTTTAGATAATTCCTTTGGAAATCTCTACCTTGAACTAAGGTAGCTCTGTCCCTTCAGACCCACACGTTGGATACAGGTGTCACTTATGACAACGACCAAGGCCTTGAACTTCTCGTCTCTCTGTTAGGAGATGCTTTTCCTGAGATGTGTCTCCATACCAACAGCAGAGCACATCTACAATTCTACAGAATTTCTCCACACTGAAAGAACTCTAACTGTAGAGATGGTTCAGATGACCAACTGCTCAGCAGCAAGGGGTAGAGCAGACACCATTAAACAAAAGCCAGTCTCCTGGCATTTCACTCAAAACAACCAACCAACGCACCCACCCCTTCCTCCAGCTCAGACTGCCGCCTGCTCCATGCTGCTCTGTGGCCAATTTCGACTAGAAGCCCCCCACTCTTTGAGAGCAACCAGGTTTTAAATCACATAATGCCCTAACATCTTCATGGATTTTTTTCTTTGCTTGCTTACCTCTTGTTTGAATTCCACAGTCTCTCTGCCATCCTCTTCCTTTGTTTTCACCAAGGACATCTTGACCCAAGTTCGAAAGCCTCCAGAAAACTTCCAGCTGGAGTATGAACTTTCACAGTCCTTCATGAATTCTGCTTTTTCTGGACTAAAGGAGAAAGAACATTACTTTGCTGACCAAACTCAGAGCAGTGCTTGGACACTGCAGCAGCAGAACGTCAGGCCCAAGCTCTGCAATGTGTTTAAAACTTCTTTGAAATATCAACTGCTGTAATTCAGCATATTTAATACACTCTTAGCAGGAAAGTTTTGATTAACATTAGCACTTACACTCCGTTCTTAATGGCAGAAGACTTACCTGCTGCCTTGCTCTCCCTGCAGGCTGTGCTGCTTTATGGGGGAGCTTTGTTCTGCTCACGTGTCACTACTGGGAGAGGAAGAGAGCCAGCTAACAACTCACCACAATGCTAAGAAGCAAGTGATGGAAGGAATAACCTCAGGCCAAGGCTTCACACCGTTTCTGAGGAGCAAATAAGCTGGTTGCAATGGAGACAACATGCCTTGCAATTCACATTTAGTGTAGTCCTATTAATTCAGGAACAACACAAGGGCTCCTATCTGCTATACAGCCATTTTCCCAATACACAACCACAGATATTTGCAGCCCTGGAGTAACAGGATTGGTTTATATCTTTTTATAAGATATACTGTGATTTTCTGCCATCTTAAGTCTTCCAATATCCCTCATCCTGCAAGCAGTAACAAGGTAGCTCTAGGGTAGAATCCTGCCTCTATTAAATGCACAGGACACACTGAATCAACCCTTCCATTCACTTGGAGCTTCTTGGTACAGTGATTTTAGCCACTGCCATGTCCTCTCCATGAAATAAGCCTGTCTCTCCCTACAGCTGCTTTTCCACAAGGTTTCATCTGAAATGAACAGGTAAACCACTGTTATGAGTCACAAAACATTAAAACAGACTGCAAATTCTTACTGAAGATAGATTTAAGGTTTAGAGCTATGCCATGGTATGCTGGTCCTTGAGACAAGGGAAGAGAAAAACATTTCTGACCCAGAGTAAATCCACCTTCTGAGGTAAAGGGAAAGAGCATACTTCTGTTCATATGGCAGAGGAAGCTCACGTCTAGGTCTACTAGAAGGTGAAGCTACTTTGGTCTTCCAGGAGAAAGATGCAAAGAAATCAAGACTGATCTGGAAGATCTGCCACGTACCAACACTGGGTGGATTTACACTTTTTCCAACTTTCTCTCAGTTTTCAGAACTGGGGCTCCTTTTTTTTTTTCCTGTAAAGAATGATGATTTGTCCACGTGGCAGCACATGCACAGGCTGGTAAGATTACCATGCTGACGGCTGCTCTGTACTACACTGACTGCTCAGGCTGAATAGATCAGCATGCACATGCTAGCACAGCATGGCACAGCCTAGCAAAGTCACTGCTTTCAGCTCAGGGCTTCAGGTGGAGGGCTCAAACTCAGAAAGGAGAAGCATTTCCAGATAGAAAAAACAATACTCCGCTAATTGTGAAGGTACTCCAGAGTGCTTCAGCCATTTAGGATATCTTCATCTCTCTGTAACATAAGCTGCAGTACAGCTCTTCAATCCCAAAGTGAAGATGTGGGCAAAGCACGAGAGGAAAGGCCAATGCCTGACTGCTCCTTGCCATGCCAACCAGTGACAAACTGCTTCTTCCCCTGTCAGTATTTGGGTACAGCAGCATGTTGGGGACAGACAGCCAGGAAGAGTGTGGTGTTTTGCCACTCAGAGAAACATACATACTTAGCACTCTGCCAGCCTGTCACCAACGCATGACTCAGTACAGCATCCCAGAAAGGCTTTCCAAACCAACATGGAAAATTGAGGCAGGAAGTTATGACTTAGAGTTGAACATTACAGCCACAATTTACATGGTAAGCAGGCAGCAACTTTGTATAGTATACTTTGCCTTCAATGGTAATTGTAGGCTTGAAAAAGAAAGATGGATATCTTAAGAGAAGCTGTGGAGAAGTGATCTGAAAAGGCATCTCCTTGTGTGCACCAATAATCCACACCAGTGCCACAGAGTCAGGAACAACAGAAAGGAGGGAGGAGAGCAGAGCAGAGATGCAGAAGCTCTGCACAAGTAATAGCAGAGGGCAAATAATGCCTGAGTTCCCCTCTGTTGGGGAACTGGAAACTCTCCAACATTACATGGGATGTAACACAAGGTCAGATGTCGTGGTATCAAAGCCTTGACCCTTCTTCGTTACCATTTATTCCTCTGCACACAGCAATCCAGAGAAGTGAACACGAAGCTCTGTTTAGACCCTTAAATAATCTCTGCCTTGTTCTGACTGGTATTCGTCATCTTACGTAAGATATTTTACATGCTAAAATAACAATGGTTTCAACAGCAATATGTTCAGAGGATTTGCTACTCAAACCCATGTATTACACTAATGATAGTTCAGGAAAGGAACTTGCATACTTAGCTACACATTTTTTGTAACATCGCAAGGGTTTCATTATTTCATTTTTGCTGATTAATGCTGTACACACAGCAGCTGCCCCTGTCTTAAAGAAGAAAGAAAAACACAGAAGAAGAAAATCCACTGGCAGTATTAGTCCAACTCACAGTCTGACAATAGCACACAATTCAGCAGTGTTCTGTGAAAGCCAAAACAAAGCTAGCACACACTGCCAGTTTAATACAAGCTGGTGATCCAATTTTAACATGAGAGCTACAGAAAATAAAACCCTTGACAGAAACAACTGGACCTTACTTGAGTCCTCACCACTCAACAAATTCTTAAAGCATAAGAGCCTAGAAGCCATTTTTACAGCTGATGCTTGCAGCAGCCTTCACTGGTTATTGATATATAAAGCAAAAATGAGCTGCACGTAATAAACCTACAGAGAAGTTGTGGAGATGCAGCTGGACTCTTTTCATCAGTTTTAAGGAGGACAGTGTTCAGATTATGATTTATGATGAAACATCCTAATGTCACAGCAGTCTGACTGTCCAAACCAACCTAAGCTGTTTGCAGCCATACTAAAAACTAATTGAAAAAACCCAACAACCTGTAATTACGATATCTGAAGAGTTGCAGCACGCATCTCAGCATCTTCAGGAATGCTACAACCCTTATGTTCATTGCTGGACACAGTGCTAAGAACATGCTCTTGTAACCCATGAGTGAGACATGTGGACAAGAAAAGTAATTAACAACAGCCAAATACTGGTCAGTATTTGAAGTTTCTTTAGAGAGTGCATGGAAGGACAAAGTTACATTGTCAGTACACAACAGTTTCTAAGGATATCAGTCCAGACTTCCCCATCAGCTAAATTTAGCATCAGCTGAGGAACCAGAAGCCATTTCTATTTTCTCTCCTGCTAGAAGCTGAATAGAACGAGCAGATCCCACAAATGCAAGATGTTCCACTTGCAGCTCATAGTCAGGAGAAAAGATCTGTTTGCAGCCTGTCCTGAACCTGTCCTGTTTGTGCCCTGGGATACCAAGAGAGCAATACACAACACCGAGGAAGACAAAGACATACAGTTGGTACTAAGCTCTGGAGAATGCTCTAAGAGAGACAGTATCAAAACATCTTGCACACAACTGGTTCTCTATTTCAACTGGATAATCGGATCATTTACCAGCACGCTTAAAGGCCTATGTGCCTTTGCCAATTCCACCATTACCTGGGTTAGTTCGAAACCAGCCTTGACCTACATTTCTATTACATGCTATGAACAGGCACAAAGATGCACCTTCATACAGACCTCATTTCCTACCTTTTTGCTTTGCTTCAAACATAACTCAGGCTCAGTCTTCACTCTCCCAGCAGAGACAAGGCAGCTTCTTTAGGAACAGAGCATCATTTCCCTTTCTCTTCAGGAATCAGTTCTGCCATCTAACCCGTCTGATCTGGGAAACCTGGAGGCAGGATGTTGCAATCCCCAGTTTCTTCAGGCAGCTTACAGATGTTTCTTACTGATTCATCCACTCTGGCTCAAATACGGCCTTCAAGCTAGGACCCTGGCAATACCATTTAGTGTTGTTTTTCACATCTAACCCACCTCTGCACAACACACGATACAAACATTTCAGAAAGCAGTATGTAGACTTGCTTGCAGGAAGAGATACTTCGAATACTGCTAGCTTAACCAGGACACACATGCTTTAACTGGGAAACAAACAGCTCTTTAGAATGGCTTATCTGCAAACTGATACAATGAGAACAGAAAGGTAGCCTCCAGAACTTAAGTTCGCATAGGCCAATTTGCGTCTTGGTAAGTTAGCTTGTTCTGCACAGATACAGCAACCAGACACCACACAACCACCCCTTCTGATCTTCATCCACTGGGGATGGTCTCAGACACTCACTCATGTCTTGAAGTACAGAAATAGCTGTGCATTTTGCTGGAATCAGTCCCACCTTTCCTGCCACTGACTGTAGTACAAGCCACAGAACTGAGAAAATCCAACACAAAAGGAACCAGTAGTACCTCCAGCATCGCTACTCTCAGTTGGTATTTTCTGACTCTAAAACATCAGTGCCCAAAATATCAATGCCCAAAGTACCTGGAACATTTGCATCTTTGCGTCTTTGTGCAGTTCTAGGAAGTACCTGATAACTTCAGCTTAGTATCTGTCTCCTTCATTGAAATAGAAACGCTTTCCAAAAAGCAAATTCAGGTAACTGGTCTTCAGACACCCAGAGACACTGGGAGTGAACTCTTTCAGTCTTTGCTCCTCTTTTGAAAATACACCCATGTGATCATGCCCAAGCCTCCAGAAGTGCTTCAGTACAATAATGGGTTATTTTTCTTCCTCTCTATCACCTTATTACTCTCTACATAGGCGCTTTACCACTCTACATCTGACCATTAACGAAGTTAAGTCTCCTTATTAGGTATCACTGTACCTAATGGCTTTTGACTAGCTTGTCATCTGGATCACAGAGAGAAAAACAGAACTTGAATTTAAATTAAAAGTTAAAATTAAGCTTCTCATGAGGAGGGAAAAAGCTTGGGGCTTTCAAGAAAGTTCAAGCAAGGATTAATTCCACTCCTATTAAAATAATCAAAAGGCTGATCAGTCACTTCAATGGTACTGACATAAATCAACACAAAGCATTTTTAAACCCCCATCTATAACAGTTCAGTGCCATCACAGGCTCACCCCTCCACATACCTGTTGACGAACTCTTGGAAAGAAGAAAACAGAAGGTAGTCAATGGCACTAAAATCTTGGTCTGTTCCATTTAAGTGAAACTGTAAAAACACCAGCTCCTTCTTCTTCACGTCACGAGGGCCTTGAACAACCAAAGCATACTTCTATAAGCAGACAGAGAGACAGTGAGAGTAGGAGAGGAGGAATCCTCATTTCCTGTTCATGAATTTGCCACCTGTCACTGATACTCTGCAGAAATCTAATACAGAATGAGGTTCTCCCGGCCTCTAGTAAGTAGACATTCTGTTAAGACATCCAAAAAGAATGCCTGCCAAGCAAATGAGAATTCCACCTTTTGGTTGAAAAATGAATTCTCTAAATCAATTCAGAGCGTTGCTAAGAGGTCTGCACTAGCTCCATCATTCTGCACCACTTCCATCAATCTGCACTACTTCCATCACTGCCACTCGGGCTCACGTGCAATTACCAGCTAAGGCTCTGCAGCCTGCATTCTGCAGAAGGACAATCAAGACAGCTTAGGGCATTACAGTCTGGGAACTTTCAGCTCTTGACATGAATCAATTTTCATTTGGAGTCTGATGTAGAAAACATTATGCTTGCCTTTGAGAAAAAGGCACAGTTTCATAGCCCTCAAGCAAGCTGCAAAGGAGGAAGTGAAGAGAAAAAAAAAAAAAAAAAAGACAGCCAGCTAGCAGGCAGAATACTGCTTAACGTGCAGGAATTACAATGGACAGCAAGTTGTTGCTTGCAAAAATGACTGCCAATTCGAACATGGCGCTACATGGTCCAGGTCTGCCTCGATGCCTCTCCATTCAATTGGAGGACTGCAAGCTCCCAAACAAATTTACCACACAGCATAAAATACAGGTTCTTAGTTTATTAAAACATGTGGGGCAAAAAAATAGAGGAAGAAATGAAAGACATTAAATATTTAGACTTGGCACATTATTTTAAAACATACTGGGAGCTTCTTCCCAGACAGAACTAATGACTAGACAGAAGAAAAACACGAGGATGAAAAAAAGCTGACCAAAGAGGTAACTAAACTCCTTGTTCATGTCTAGTTTTCTTAGGAACAATCTGCAATAACTTCAGATTAGACACAAATGACCCCACTTCATACTTCTGAACGTTTTTTTTGTACAGAAGCCAGACTCCCTGCATTTTTAAGGGGAATTTAGATTGTCATTTAATGTACTATCTTATCTTACTGGCACACAGAGCTTCAATACAATAAAATGCTCAGCTGCCTAACTAAGAATTTGCCAACTGTGACAAAAATAATGAAATTGTTACTGCTTTCAACATTAGATTTTCTACATCAAGGAGCGTGCTTGCACTTAGGAGATGAATTAAGTGAGTTTCACTTGCAAAACAAGACTTCCGTTCCATTCAGGTTTGCATGTTACACAGAGCCACGTGACAGCTGATCATCCATAACATACATACAAACTGACTGGGGTATTTTACATTTCTGAAAATACAAAGAGATGGTTTGGAGGGAAAAAAAAAAACCAACCAACTCAATAGAAAAAAACACAACTCTAGAAGCAAGGATATTTTGCAGTCTTTTGTAAATATAAAACTAAAAAATATGGAATATATAAAAACTCTCAATTACCCCTCGTACAAGCAGAACTCCCCCACAGCCCACTGAACAAGCTTTATTCTGTTGTATTATTACCATAGTTTGATTAGTAAAAGGATCTGTGTAGTTGATACTCTGTGTGGTGCACTCAATGTCTCCCGGCTGACCTGGATTTATCAGAGGCAGAATGTGATCATAGTAATGATGCTTGCAGCTGAGCAGCCGAGCCTTTCCTGGGTAAAAGGCAATACCTGTTTCAGGAGAGAGAACATTGAAGAGAGCTGACATTAATAGATTTTCACTCTGGAATTTAATCCCACAGGACACTGAGCTGTCCTGCCAAGATCCAGCAGCACAATCAAATTAAATCATGCGTTTGAGTAGTTTTTTAAGAGCAGGACAGCAGTGTCAGCTGCACTCATCAGGACAGAAGTCTTGCAATGCACTGAAGAAAATCCAGGTTTGTTTTTAATTACTACAAATCAAAGCTCACAGAAGTTATTAAGCTTCCCTCATCCCCCTTAGCAAGCAGCTAAGGAATCAGTCCTTCTGACGCCAGATGAGAGGAAAGTACAAAGTAAGCTAGGAGATCACTGAAGTTAAATGGGACATAAAGTGCTCCAGAATGCATGCACTCAGATGTTATGATTTAACACATGATATTTTAACTGGAAAAAGCGTATGTACTATATATGAGAGATTATGCTAACCTCATAAAAGTGAAAAGATGCTCTTCAGAACAACTAGCATCTTCTATTCATAAAATACAGTGTTGTGACAACCAATCCCTTACTACTTTTATCACTTAGGTAGGCAAGCTACTACTTCACCTGTATGTGAATTCATGTACTTGTATACACCATAAATTTGTGGCTCCAGACCAACAGCAAGCTTCAGGCTTGAGGCTTCAGACCTCAAATACCTCAGCTGTAGAAACCCAGCAAAGTACCAAGGCTCCAAACCAAACATCTTGTTATGCCACATTCAGTACTGGAAACAAACTTGCCTGAAGCCAATCAAGGCCAACTACAAGAAGTATGACTTACGAGTTGTGCGATTAACTCATGCAACTGAGATGATCTGTCCACCAAAATACAAGATGTATTTTGAAGAATAAGAATAGCCAGAACACATCAGTGTAAAAAATGTTTTACTCCTTCCTTCAGTGCCCCATGCATTCAACTTGCCATCTTGTTACCTTAACAGCAACAAAAGCAACACTGATGAACACTGATGCACTGATTAGCAAAAGGCTACATTAATTCTACAAAAATCTGTAAGAGTAAGACAACAACATGAAACACCTTACAACTACAATTACTGGAACTGTGATATTTAAGATGTGGTAACAAACAGAACAGACTTCAAACAGAAGTGTTATTTTTACACTGGAAACTAACAAAAGGCTCCCAATGCTGTTTGAGCTACATTTGCTACCACAGCTCTATTTACAAATGGCTACCGGGTAATTTTAAAAAGCGATTATAGAACTCACTATCCAAAAATGCTTCTGTGGAGTAATCCCTCCTGCAAACTGCAATACAGTTCTCTGATGCCACATTACATTTTCTTTGCCAACACTGTTCTCTGCAGTCATATCACATTGTCATTGGCTTCTGATGCACCTCCAAGTGGTTAAAAAAAATGCAGAACAGAAGTAGGAAGTGGCACCACTTCTGGGTTTGTTGGGTTATTTTTTTGGTTGGTTGTTTTTTGTTGTTATTATTATTGTTTTATGGGTTGTTTGGAAAACTCTCTACTGTCAGCAGCACCTCACTGTCCAGTGCAGAAGTGAGATCCAGGAACAGATCCTATGTGCTCCATTGCCCTATTAATGCTGTCTGGGGAGCAGTTCCATGAGAACTTCTTTCCTTAACAGGGCCCATTCTAGAGTGTGCAAACACTTCCTGGCTATCAAATGCTGCCCTTTATTAGCTACCAGTCTTACCAGGTGCATCATACAAGGACACTTCCTTGTAAGAGACAGACATCACGGGGTGCTTGAGCTTCTCTCTGAAGTCACTGATGGTTTGGTAGACAAGGAACACAGCTACAGCCATGAGTAGCAGATAAATGAACAGGAGAATTACTGAGAACACATTCTTTAGGCAGGTCTTGCTGAAACGCAAGGAAGGGGCACCAGTACCCAGTTCGCTATCTGGAACCAAACAGAACATGAATTAGAACTCTGAAACACAGATTTTGGGGCAGAATTTACACAGTGTTTGTTTAAAGATCAATCACTTGAGAAGAAAGTAAACCTTAAGCTCAGTTTGATTTAAAACAAACAAATAAACAAACAACCTATTGCTGTCTTTAATGATCAGTGAGACAGCTGCTTCCTCCTCAAGCACAAGGCAGAGTTTTTGGACAGCTGTGCCTTTTTTAAATGTTGAACTTGGCATTCACCTAAGGACAAGGCAGGAAACAGCATTTATTTTCAAGAAGGCCAATCTGGAAACAAAGTTCAAAGTTCACACGAAAAGGTCTCTCAGTGCTCCGTCTTTCCTCCTGGAACAAACAACCCATTTCTCCTCACTTCCAGTCTGATCTGATTCTGACCACCTTCAGCATATGCATCGGCAGGGAGATTTAATATTCTAATAATGCTCTTACACAGCTAACTGCATGGCACCTCCACCATGGCAAAGGCCACTGTGAATTTGTGACCCTCTATTTTCTGGTTTGTAATTTGTAACTCCTGGCGCATATTCAGTAAAGTTTCACAAAAGAAGGCTCTTTCCGATTACACCTAGGAAAAAAACAGACCCGATTCCTTCCTTCTTGCCTTCAAAGCTTATTCTCTGAAGATCTTCACACTAGTCTCACTTACACATCCAAAGCTACACAAACACTGCTTACTCCATACCCCTTTGCATTCTCAACTTCTTTTGACAGTACTTGTAAGTAAAAAAAATGATGCACTGAAGTTACACGTTCATATTTTGATTGTGAGCGATATAAAGCTGAACCTGCAAAATAAACATCAAAACTAAAAGCATGGAAGGAGATAAATAGGCATATTTTAAACTGACTTTTCTGTGTGGTGTAATTTAATGAGTCAGGCCCTTTCAGGCCATGCCACACTCTGCCCTTCAGCTATAATGGCAGGGTTTGCTGTTTGCTCCTTACCGCAGCAAACACTAGTCTTTTTGTAGCTCCTACTGAACACATAACCACATATAAAAGTCCGTGGCCACACAAGTGTTCCAAACTTCATTGCCAGGAGATGTCAGCCAAGGAAATTAGGTCATTAACATGCATAAAATTGCACTACTAACAAAAAGTCGGTCTTGAGCAGCTGCAAAACATTTAGGGGATATTCATTTCAGGTTGGCATACCTTAATGCTCAAATCTAGCCCGCATCGGCGCATTTACTGAAAACAAAAACAAAAAAAAACCCAAAATCTTGCACAGAAACAGCTTACCAGGTACTTAAAACTCAATCTTGAGGTCAACAGTTCTCACCTGGTAAAATAGCAGAGCTGGTATCTTCATCAACTTCCATCTCTCCTTCTCTCTCATCTGTCGGGTTTTCAGACACTTGTTCCACATCTTCACTCAGCTGTGTAGTTAAAACAGTGGTTCAATTTCCAAACATGCTCTCAACTTGCAATTGCTGGAATTTCTATGGTACAAATAAGAGAGGCTCGAACTAACCAAACACACAAAACCATACCTCCAGTCCAACAGCACCCAGTGTCTGTTCCAATTGTTCACAGGAGTCACGTTTGCGTAGATCTAGAGCTGAAAATTAAGTGCCACTCATACTGCATTTAACCTACTTCTAGCCTGCTGTCTCAAGAATAACATCACCCTTTCTTTCAAGACGGATGTAATTGCTTCCCTGGCAATTTCAGCTCACACAGAACCCCCAATTAAGGGGATGCCTTCTGAAATAGGCAGGAACTCCGCTCTGTTACTCAGTAACATATTTTAGGTATAAAGATACCACACCACATACCAACAAACAGAGCATCAGCACCTCTTAATAGAGAAGTATGTAAAAAGCAAAATGAATTTTGACAGATATTAGGACAAAAACTCAAATGCAGTCCCAGCTATATAGGTAGGTGGGTGGGTCATTACAAGACATTAAGACACCCTTGATGTTTCTTTGAGCTCTCTGTAAATATTATTCTACATTAGTGGTGATGCAACTAATTGGTCTTCCAGTGTTTCCACACCAGCAGAGACCTGATGTTTTCTTGTTTTTGCTATTCAGAGCTCTGGGTCCCAACCACCAAGACACCTTCATCAGAGTCAGAAGCTCCTCATATCAGAAGATCACAAGGGATTAGGAAATGATTGACTTTTTGTTTTGCCCCCTCCTGTGTATTAAAAGTATACCTTGCAAGTCTTCCAAGTTTCTTTCATGGAAGGGAACAACACAAACTGCAGCATGGTAAACCAAGTCCCGAGCTTACAGCATATCATGTTCTGCACAGTACCCATCCAGCTAAACACTCAGTATCAAATAGCTAATTCAGGGAAATTAGTTTTGTTCCTACTTCAAGAAAAAAGGGTGCATGCTAAATGCAGTACCCACACTGAATGCTAATAAACTTTACGTCCCCAACTGAACAGTTACTGTCTGTATCCATAAGCGCTTTTCTTTTGTGCAACTCCAATTCAGCACTAAAATTATTGTCATTACATCATTAGCAGTTCATCATTTGCATTTATTAGGAAAGAATTCATTAATTTCACATCTCGGAAGGCTGATGTAAAGCCTCCATCACCTCCTAACACATTTCTGTATTTGTTTCTGCCATACAAAGCAAGCTGGAAGCATTCATCAGTTATTTATGTGCTAAGCATTTAAAACAAAGTATGCTTTCTGTTAGCATAAGGCATGGAATACACAGGTAAATCATAGGCTACACTCAGCTCCTTTGCAGGAGACGTACCTGGATATGACTGAAGATATTTTTTGTCCAATAATCATCATAAAATAAATGAAACTTAAGACTGCTCCTTTATGCAGGGCCACGTCAGTTCTACTTATTTACCTTACCTAAAATAAGCTCTTGTGACACAGGAAGAACATTCACTAAGCCTTTTGTACCAGTTTAGCTAAATCAGCTAAAAAGCCACTCTGAATTATACACTAATGGAAATTCTTGACCCAAAGAGTTTACAGGAGTTACAACGCCCATGCAGTGTCTCAACTGACTCCTGCACCTCACTGGCTGGGTTCCCCGATCTCACACCTCATCAGCTGACATCATGAGGGTTAAGTGTGTTCTGTTCCTAACAGCAAGATCTCAACAGGGGTTTAAACAAGAACACAGTATGCAACACTTGTTATCATCTCAAGAGAGATCCTCTTGATTCTAATAAGTAGGAAGAGAAGCAGCCAGAAATACTTAGAAACAAACAGGAAAACCAGTAAGCGACCACATATTTTATGATCTCTACTTAAAATGCACACACAGTTTCAGAAACCTTTCACGTGGAGCACCAGTGAAGTACAGATAGCCAAAAGCAGGCAGAACTCAGGTGTACTAAGTAGAGCTGACGCATAAGCCTCCCCTTAACCAACTAATTTCACTGCAAATCTCAAACACCTGCGTTGAGAAGAAGCAGAGGTAAGTAAGCCCAACTGTGGCTGCTAGAAGCAAGCACTGCTTGTGGCCCCACATCACAGACCAACCAGCATGGTAACTTGCATACGGAGCTGCAGAGAACCAGCACAGCAGTACTGCATTGTTTATTCCAGTTTTTCCAGAAACTTGGACAAAATCCACAGATTGTGGCAGGTGACGTTAGTGAATTTAATTTATCAGGCATAGTGGTGTTTTTACTCCCACAGGCTGGCTTTTCCTCTGCTATTTTTCATAGAGAGGTGAAGCCTCTCACTGAGAGGTACAATGAACGCAACTCACGGGACAGTTAAGCTTACAAGAGGACATGGAGATATGATATTGAGAGCAAGAAGGACATGATATGGAGCTTTGTTCAACAATCCTCTGTGCTCAGCACATGCAGCTGACTGGGAAACAACAGCAGGAGTCTGCCCGTGACCCAGCAGTTCCTTCCCCATCCCACACACTGGAAAAACAAACGCAGAGAAGATAACTCCAGCTATGCCAGCATCCTTGCTCGGGCAGGCACACTGCTCACTATCCAGAGGAGAGATGGAAAGCAGACAGGCACTATGGAGCTGGGGACGTGGTACGTGGAGCAGGGCTGGGTGGTGCTGACTGACGCACAGGGCAACGTGCATAGTTTGGTCTCTGCTTTCAGGTGTCTCTGTGACATCAGTGACTGTCTCAAGCACTCCCCTGAATGCAAGCTTTTACATGAGTTACGTGCCATGAGGCCCTGGAGCATGTCCAGAGAAGGGTAACGAAGCTGTGAGGGGTCTGGAGCACAAGTCTTATGGGAGCTGCTGGGAGAGCTGGGATTCAATCTGGAGGCTCAGGGGAGAGCTCAATGCTCTACAATTACCTGAAAGGAAGTGGTGGCCAGCCTCTTCTCCTGGGTAACAGTGATAGGATGAGAGGGAATGGCCTCAAGTTACATCAGGGGAGGTTCAGGTTGGATATTAGGAAACATCTCTTCTCAGCAATAGCAGTGAGGAGTGTCACAGGCTGCCCAGGGAAGTGGTGGAGTCACCATCCCTGGAGGCGTTTGGGGAACGTGGAGATGTGGCACTGAGGGACGTGGTCAGTGGGCACGGTGGGGGTGGGTTGGCATTGGACTACACGACTTTAGTGGTCTTTTCCAACCTTAACGATGCTAACGTCATCCTGATAATTACGGGATGAGGCCTTCCTACTCGATAAAACCCTCATAAACAAAAGGAGAACCTGTCTCTGCAGGCCTGCCGCCGGACAACTTATTCATCACCTTCTAACGCCTTCTGCTCCGACGTGAACAGACACAGCTGGAACCGATCGAGCGGCGCCGAGCTGAACCACAACTCCTTGGGGCGAAGCCCCGCGCGGCCAGCAGCCGCAGCTCCGCCGCAGGAGCCCTCGCGCCGCCTCAGGCGTACGGAGCACACAGCCGCTACACGAGCACTGACGCACCTGCGCTGCCTTTCCCCGCAGGATGCGAAAAGCAGCACCCTTCTGTAGCTCTGCCGCAGGTGGGCTGATGGGAACGCCGGGCACGAGCAAGGAAGGAATCGCACCGCCAGAGCCGCCGCGCCCAAAGAGCCGGCTCCTCCGCTCCACAAGCGACAGCCCTCCCCGCCGCCTCGCCCCCCGCGCCGTACCTCCTTGTAAGACGCAGACGGCTCCGGCCTCAGCATGGCATCGGCGCGAGGCGGCACGGCCGAACCCCGCCGCCCTGCCCGTGCCGGGCCGCGCAGGCGCCTGGACGGCCCGCCGCGGGGCTGCTGGGAGGCGTAGTGCGGCGCGAGGCGAGCTGCCGGCCGCGGGGCTGCGGTTGGCGGCGAGAGGAGAGGCGGCGCCGCGCTCCTCCCGCGGGCCGGGGCGCGGGGGCGGGGCTGGCGGCATGGCGGGCGGCGCGGCGGGACGGCCGTCAGGGGCCGCGCTGCTGATGGCGGTAGCGGTGCTGACGGCGGCCGAGCGGGAGCTGCGCTTCAAGGCTCCGCCGCCCGCCGAGGCGCCGGTGCGGCTGTTCACCGAGCCCGAGCTGGCCAGATACGACGGGCAGCAGGTAGGGCCGCGCCGGAGAGCGGGGGCTGCCCGGCTGAAGGGCCGCGAGGCAGCCGGGTTCGGGTGCCCGTCCCGCTGCATGGCCTGGAGCTGCCGAAGCTCCGCGCTGAGCCCGGCGGACGTGCATTGCTTCGTGCACTGCTGCCTAACGAGGTCACTGGACTTCAGGTTACAGAAACTTTCTCAGAATGATTCGTTAAACCACACCTTTAGGCAATTTTTTTCTCCCCTACGAGGTGATAAAATAACGAAGTGATTGTAACTTCAGAGTTTTTAGCTTCCTCTGAGACAGACAGAGAGTCGGCAAATCTTCCAGATGAGAAGTTGCTGCATCGGTTGCAATACAGAGAGATGCCTTCTCTTTTGACAGACAAGCTGGCCAGCTTTCCTGGGGCCTTCTCAACATCCTCTCAAGGAACTCAGCAGCTTGCACACCTCATGCAGGCAGACAGCAGCAGATCCCATTTGGGTGTTAATCCCTTACTCTCTTAAACAAATAAAGAATGCTGTTTGCCTGCGTCTTTTTAACTGGGGCAACATCCATCTGCATTCCCAAGAGCAAGATGTAGAGACAGTGTGAAGCACAAGCAAGAAATGTCAAGGGAGAAAACAGGTTTGTTTGTATACATACAAACAGATTTCTGCAAAGTAAACAGTTTCCATCACTGTCAGCTCCAAAAAAAGGCACTGCATTATGGAATACAGCCATACACTTCACACACCCTAAAGCATTCAGGAGAAGGGCGGGGAGATGCAATGTTGCTGTCGGTCTTCAGATGGCACCAAGATTTTTTTGCAGGGAGCCGCTTGTGATGTAGGAGGGCACAGCCTTTCTTTACCTCCTTTGTAGTTCCTGACACCATTTTCGTTGTTGTTTCTTCTCTTTCTGCTGCATGTGGCCAGTAGCTGACACAAGGATGCACGAGTAGGTGGTATCTGAGAGCCTTCAGAATGGCCAGGTATGAAAATACCATGCACTACATTGCCCACGAACAGACATGCCATTTATACCAGGTTGTTGACTACAGGCTGTGTATTTACTGTGCATTGGATTGTAAGCTGCTTGAGAACAGACAAATAAGCATTTTATCCACTCCTAAGCATGCTGAGCACTTACAGATTTCTTAGGTAAAAGTAATTATATTTTGCCTACTGTTAAGAACTGAGGACATACCAACTTCTTTCTTTCAGGAAGGACAGCCCATTTACCTAGCAGTGAAGGGGGTAGTGTTTGATGTCACCTCTGGAAAAGGCAAGTTGGATTTTCCTCTCCTTTCTCCTTTGTTTTTGTGCTATTGTTCAGTCATTTGTTTTCAAATGTCCCCACACTATTAAAAACCCACAGTTCAATTGCAACAAAAAGAATATATGTTTTTTGTGTTTTAAAAAACTCAGTTATCCTCTGCTGGTACCTCCCACACTAAGGTTGCTTCTAGGATGTACTCTGGTTTGCAGTTAGTGCACACCCACAGATAACCCAGCATAGCGCAGGCAGCTCGGGCTGATGGCAGAAATGCTGGAGACGTCTGCCTGGCTCCCCATGTCCTTGCTGTCTTACTACTCTGGGCACATGAACTGGCCAGATCAAGGCTAACTAGGATGCGCCTGTATCACATTGCACAGAGTTTTTTTTCTTTCAGTGGAAAGCAGAAAAGGAAACAGGAGGTTATAAAATGTTTGAAGGCAGCAAAGGTTCCTGGCCATTCAACTTAATGCCATAACAGGCCTTCATGGCTTGCTGCTGTGCTTGTCCTAAGCTTATTCATATGCCTTGCTTGGGCATACATGTCCGATAATCTTCAAATCCTAAGTGAGACAAGGCTTGCAAATTCTGGAGTCTACAGTCTATGAGAATGTAAAGCACTGCTCCCTAAAATTTTGAGACTGCAGCATTGGAATGCAGTGGCTGTGTTAAATTCTGTCCTCTGCTTTCTGAGGACTGAGAATAAAAAATTTTGGAAGAAAGAATCTTAGACTTGAGGTAACAGTTTCAACTCTCTTGCAAGTGAAATAGGCTGGTGAAAATTACAGGCTGAAACAATCCCTTACACTGTCAGATCATTACTTTGTGCAGTTTTATGTTTTGTTATTGTTGTTTGACAGAATTTTATGGAAAAGGAGCCCCATACAATGCTTTGGTTGGGAAAGATTCAACAAGAGGAGTTGCAAAGATGTCTCTGGATCCAGCAGATCTTACTCATGACATAGTAAGAAACTGACAAATAATTTCATTGCATCTTGCAAAATTTTATTCTTTGGCTTTGTGTGCTGCCAGTCATTGTACGTGAAAAGCTCAGAAAGATGGTGAATGATAACATTCAGTTAGCTTGTATGAGAATAGAACAGTTTGGTTGGAAGGGAAGTGTTGTTGCTCACTGTACATCTGATTTACTTCTTAAAAAAAAAAAAAAAAAGAAAGGTGACTAACAGTTTGTTTGACCTGAATATGTTTAAAGTTTTGTAAGGCTGAATGAGAAGAAGGAAATTACAGGTTAGTCCATCAATTTAGTTAATCATGCCCTCCAAAATAAACCCAAAAGCTGACCTTCAGACTCACAGTAATCAAAAGAAGAGAAAAATTAATTTTAATACCTACATTTTTATTTCTTTGACCCTAATTCATTTAGACAGGACTCACGGAAGAGGAACTACAGTCACTGGATGATATCTTCAATAATGTTTACAAAGCCAAATATCCAATTGTTGGCTATACTTCTCGAAGAATTCTGAATGAGGATGGCAGCCCCAATCTAGACTTTAAGCCTGAAGATCAGCCACACTTCAACATTAGAGATGAATTTTGATGAAGCATTTTTGTACCTGGAAAATGCCTGGGGAGAAGCATGATATATTTCCTGAAAGGCACAACCCTATGTACTGGATATGTATACACATCTATACTTTCTAAGCAGAAGACTGATCAATGACAGCTAATATTTGTAATGCATAACTGAAAATATGAAAGAAAACAGATCTGTATTAGTGGCATACACACGGGATCTTTGCTCTGAATGATGGGAATTTTTTGATGTTTTTGGAAGTTCTTTCTGCTTGTATTTCTTTGTTTGCAAGTACATTATGTAAAATTACATTTCTTAGCGGAGAAAAGAAAGCCTTTAAGGGTTGAAACATGAATGGCTTTTTTGTGAATCCCAAATTGTTTTTCATTCTTTGGAAAAGTAATGCATTATCTGGATGAGCTAACATTAGTTCTCTGCTTCATGTGAGTATTGGCCCCATGTGTATAAGGATGTGTAATAGATGCTTGTACTTTAAAAGGCATCATAGGTTTAGTATATGATAGGTTTGAGAACACTGGGTATAAAAACATTCACTCTCAAAACACAGTTACCGTAGAATATTTATGTAAAGCCTACAGGAAAAATATGGTTTTCTCTTTATGAGAACTATGTGATACTTTTTTTTTTTTCCTGAAAAAAATATATCATCTATATTGGACTATTATGATTTCCTTTTAGCTTCCTCCACTCTTTCTCTCAAACAAAAAGGAAATCATCACCTACTGTTTACTACATACTCTTACAGCCCGAGTTTGTTATAGTATTTTAGAATCCTTCACATTGACAATTTCAGGTCTCATTTTAAATTTCTGTTAGTTTTCTTTGTTCTTACTCTGGCTTCATCACTGTTGTTGTTGCAGTGAAATGTGCGTTGATGTGCTGTTTTTCCTTTTTATCTACTATAAACCTCCAGGTCCTCAAGGGCAAAAACGCAGTAAAGCAAGAGCACAGTACAAGCGTGCGCTTTCTAAATTGCTGCTGACCACTGACTTCTAGTAACTGAAGAGGAATGTGAATTGTCACACGTGGATTTTTTCTATCACTGCAATAGGTTGACTTGTCATGGAAAAACTGCGCATCTGTTCCCACTTCCTCAAAGATGTTTTCTTCTACTTCTTTAACATTTTAGCTGGTTTTTTGAAGGAAATGTATTTAGATGATTCTCCACTTTAGGATTTGGATGTTGTGCTGTGAGAAGGGGTCTGCTGCCTGTCAGTTATAGAAAGTGTTTCTACTTTTTTAATATTTATTCTTATTTTCACAGTGCTACTGATTTTACTTTTGTTTTGTATGTTATCACTACACCAGTTATTAAGCCCTAAGTTTTCCACAGAGCCCATTCTATTTGTTGGTGCTCTGGGGTGAAAAAAGTAGGTTTGCATTTATGAAGTAAATACCACTTCAGATGATTGGTTTTGTTTTACTGTCATTATTATAACTGCTAACCTTTTGATCATACACCACCAGCAGTAGCTGGGAGTTGGCTCCTTGATGTAATACCTGCCATTGTTATGGGAGTACGCATCAACTCGCTGATAATGGCTGCTGTCCTTCTGCCAGCAGTTCTTCCTTTTCCCTTCCAGTTTACTTATGGGCTAGGCTGCAGTAATTGGGCTGCTGTGACTACTATCACATTATTGCTTTATCTAGGATCAGTTTATCCACCAGTATTTCCTAGATTTTGTAGCTAGATTATAACTTATGGCTTAACGTTATCATTTTCTCCCTGCTTTTTCCTGTTAATGCTGATCTCAATGCAGCTAATTCATCAGCTCCCACTCATACTCAAATTCAGATGCATTTTGGTGAAGAAACATCCTGCTGCAACAGGAAATGGCTGATAAAACTCCACTTTCAGTGTGAGATCCTTGTGGAT